CAACATGATTATCAAGCAATGGTACATCATCTAAAATATCTTTCAACCCAATTTAGTCTGAATGTTCTTTTTGACCACTAAGGATCAAAAGGTAGTGTTGACAGGTAGAGCTGATACCCAGGCCAGCTTTAAATGTAACAATTAACTGGTAACCAACAGGTCTAATTGTGAAGATACCACTTAACCACACAAACAAGACATACACATACAGACACACACTACAGTTTGCAAACAGCTACCTAAAAAAGGTGGAGAAATCAACAACCCGTTTTTAACCACGAGACGATCAGAGGCACAACTCAAAGGCTTGCACGTATGGCTTGCAAAAAGCTTTAACTGCAGTCCTGCAGTGTTTCACCACAGTGGGGGAGGGGGTGCATTTAGAAGAATGATCAGACATAGTATTGCACGGTGCTGAGTCAAAAACACAGCAGGCGCCCTTTCAGCGGCCATGTGGCTGAGACGATGATGAATTACAAAACGAAAGGAGTCTTCCTGTTTTTAAAGCCCAGACTGAACGTTCTACTTCAGCTAATGTCCAGGGATTTAAGAAAGCACAGCCTCAGCTGAGGGTTAAGAGATTGAGTTCACTAATATAACAGGAAAGACCGACTGGAACTCCATCACACACAAATTCAGCAGCACAACACAGCACGTGAAGCAGTTTCACAAGGAACGACGAGACATTTCCTCATACATCGGCCTTTCATTCCTCTGATGACGCTTGTGCACAATGGGCTTTCAAAGTCATCACTGTCACAAAACAAAGATCAGATCAGGAAATGCAGTGTGTTGACTTTGCACAGTGTATCCAATCAACGTAGCATTGGCTCCGCCCACTACTGGTGAGGATGGAGTGACACAATAACCACAGTGTGAATGCAGTGTCAAGGCCTCAACTTAGTGACAACCTCAACTTTAAGCAGCCACAATACCCTGACACACGCAGCAGTTAGCAGATCTAGGCCAGATCTCTCTCCACTATGCCACTGTGACACAAAAGACAACACAATCTGTGTCATCTCATGATGAAAAACTAAAAGTCGAGATTTGCAGGCTGTGTGACGCTCAATATCCAACAATCCGCTTCCTTCTTCCAACTTTGTGTAGGGCTCTAACTAAATATTGCTTCTATTATCAAATAATCAGATCTGCTACCCTAATAAAAACTCTATAAAACAACCAATTTAAAGCCCCCACAAAACAAAAAAGCAGAAAATCTTTAAACCAAAGTAAGAAATCTCTGTTATACTGCACTTTGCTCCAGAGTGGAGGATTTAAAACTGTGAGGGGCACCACAACATGACGGGTGAGACGGTTACAGTGATGCTGCAGGCTAGTAATCTGACCAACAGTCAATAACTACAGCTGCAACAGTGACGTTTACACACAGCTAATGCAAGTAATTAAAGGCCGTCTATGCAGGATTTTAAACTTTAGGAATCTCTCTGATCAACCACTTACGACCCACCGTATGTTGCGGTGTAGCTATTTAAACTTTATGCCCAAACCATTCATCCTTAATTTGTCACATTAATTACCTGGAACCAAACCTGGGTTGTCCCGCTCTTTCACGAAAAGCCAAATTTGTACCTCGAGATGGTGCAGCGAGTCCACCAGGCACGTCACTAAGAATGTACAACGACAGCCGGGGGGAAAAGCCCAGCCACTTGATTTAAAAAAAGTGAAGGTTTTGGTTAAATTTCACAGATGGCAATTGAAAAAAATACTTTTAAGCCAAGGACGACAGACCCACGATGCAAACAGCAACAACAAAACTCCTGCATAGCGAGCCTTGAAAGTAAAAACCATCAACAGCTGACTGCACACTCCTCAGAGTCTCCACATCTTAATGCTTCAAAGTTAATTTCATTGGCCAGTGTGGTTAGTACTTTTAGATTGCTCCCTGGAAAT